TCTTACATCAAGGAACAAATAGGTAGGCAGGTTATGAAAAGATGCAATAAAAATAGAGTTGCCACAGTGGGCGACTTTAACTTCCCCAATATTGACTGGGACTCCCTTAGCACAAGAGGCTTAGACAGGGCAGAATTTGTTAAGTGGATCCAAGAGGGTTTCTTGAAACAGTATGTGGATAGTGCAACTGGAGGAGGGGTCATACTGGATCTTATACTGGCTAATGAGCTTGGCCAGGTGACTTCAGTGGGAGAGATATCTATGAAAAAGGATAAGTCAGGACCTTCTGGCAAGGTACTAAATTGAGGAAGGCCAAATTACGTCAGTTTTAGGCAGGAGCTAGGGTGTGTTAATTGGGAGGAGCTGTTATCAGGAAAGTCCCCATTTGATATGTGGAAATTGTTTAAAGATCTGCTGGTGAATGTTCACGACTGGCATGTACTAGTAAGAAGGAAGGATAAGGATGGCAAAGTATGGGACCCTTGGATAATGAGGAGGGTTATGAATTTAGATAAAAGGGAAAAAAAACAGGCATATGTAAAGTTTAGAAAGCTAAAGACAGACAGGGCTCATGAGGAATATAAAGAAATCAGGAAGGAACTCAAGAAGGGAATCAGGAGAGCAAGAAGGGGCTACGAAATGACCTTGGCAAGTAGGTTTAAAGAGAATCCCAAGGCATTCTATAAATATAGTAAAATCAAGGATAACTATGGAGAAAGTAGGATCACTCAAGGTTAAAGGAGGGAACTTGTGCTTGGAGGCAGAGGATGGGGGTGAGATCCTAAATGAGTACTTTGCATCAGTATTCACCCTGGAGAAGGATATGGAGGATAGTGAGATTTGTGTGGAGCATGCTAATATGCTATGGCATTTTGAGATCAACAAAGAAGTGATGTTGCGTCTCTTGAAGAACATTAGGTTAGATAAGTCCCTAGGGCCTGATGGTATCTACCCCAGGTTTTGAGAGAGTCAAGAGAGGAGATTGATAGGGCCTTGACCGAGATCTTTGTATCCTTGCTAGCCACTGGAGAGGTCCTGGAAGACTGGTGAATAGCTAATGTTGTTCCTGTGTTCAAGAAGGTAAATAGGGATAATCCAGGAAACTATAGACCGGTGAGTCTCACATCGGTGGTTGGGAAGCTATTAGAGACAATTCTCAGGGATAGGGTTTACACGCATTTGGAAAAGCATGACCTAATTAGGGACAGTCAGCATGGCTTTGTGCAGGGCAGGTCATGTCGTACTAACTTGATTGAATTTTCGAGGAGATGACAAAGGTGATCAATGAGGGTAGAGCAGTGGATTTTATCTACATGCAGTAAAGATTTTAACAAGGTGCCTCATGGTACGCTCATCCAGAAGATTAAGATGCATGGGATCCATGGTGACTTAGCTGTATGGATTCAGAATTGGCTTGGCCATAGAAGGCAGTAGGTAATGGTGAAACGTTGTTTTCAGGCTGGAGATCCATGACTGGTGGCCTTCCACAGGGATCCGTACTGGGACCTCTGCTGTGATATATTTATATATATATATTAAAAAATGACTTGGATGAAAATGTGGATGGGTGGGTTAGCAGGCTTGCAAACGATACAAAGATCGGTGGAGTCGTTGGTAGTGTAGAAGCTTGTCAAAGGATTCAACGGGATCTAGATCTGTTGCCGATATGGGCAGAGATGTGGCAGATGGAGTTAAATTCAGGTAACTGTGAGGTTCTGCACTTTGGGAGATCAAATGTTAAAGAAAAATATACAGTTAATGGCAGGACCCTGAACAGCATTTAGTACAGAGGAATGTTGGGCTTCAAGTCCACAGCTTCCTGAATGTGGCCATGCACATAGATAGGGTGGTAAAGGTGTATGACATGCTTGGCTTTATTGGCCGGGAAATTGAGTACAAGAGTCAGGATGTCATGTTGCAACTTTAGAAGACTTGGATTAGGCCATACTTAGAGTACTACTTTCAGTTCCGGTCACCAAATTACAGGAAGGATATGGAGGCTTTGGAGAGGGTGCAGAAGAGGTTTACCAGGATGCTGCCTGGATTAGAGGGTATGAAGTATGAGGAGAGGCTAGAAAAACTTGGGTTGTTTTCTCTGGAGCAGCGGAGGCTGAGGGAAGACTTTTATAGAAGTCTGTAAAATTATGAGATGCATAGATAGTCAACATCTTTTCCCCTGAGTTGAAATGTCAAAAACTAGGGGCAATGCATTTAAGGTAAGAGGGAGAAAGTTCAAAGGAGATGTGAGGAGCAAGTTCTTTACACAGAGAGTAGTAGGAGTGTGGAACGCGCTGTTGGGGTGGTGGTGGAGGTAGAAACGGTAGGGGCATTTAAGATACTTTTAGATACCCACATGAATATGCAAGGAATGGAGGGATATGGTCTAAGGGCAGACAGAGGGATTAGTTTAATTTGGCGTCATATTCGGCACAACATCATGAGCCGAAGGGCCCGTTCTTGTGCTGTACAGTTCTATGTTGTATGCTATCTTTTTAATATATTTTGAGGGGGTTTGCTCTGGTCCACAACACTATTAACAGACCCCAGACTGACCACGGCCACTCCCTGACTTGCTTAGAAACAGGGGCCCAAGTTAGAAAGACAGGTCCAACTGATGAATAATTAGATTAACTCCCTGAACTGTAGTGATGTAGTCTTCCACACTGATCAACCCAAGCACCAGACTGATATTTGACAATGCCCTTGACTTAACTGTGCTATTACCTACTGACTGATGAGAGTCCATCTTGACTTGAATAAGCACGACTCCCACAAGACTTTGAAATATGGCTCTTTGGTTGAAGCACATTCAGGACATAGATGTAGCATGGTCCTGTACAGAAACATGTCCACTAGCGTGACTGATAATTGCTGACAAACATGATAAGTTGCCTGTTTGTGTGGCTGTGCTAAAAGGCAAGGCAAAACAGAAATACTGTAAGTAAGTTCTGAGTGAGGCAACAAAGCACAATAAGGCAAGGCAGAGATGCTCTGAGCATTCAAGTACACATAAAGCGAATGAGCACTAAGAGTGCAAGCTAACAGCTCTAAACTTCACCCTGCTCTGATGTATGACATGGGTTCTTGACCCTGTGTATAAAGTGGCCTGGCAGCGCCATTGCAAGGAAATTTGTCATATGCTCCAAAATGCAGCATTGAGTTGATGAATGTAGAGGTAGACAAACAGAAGGCTGGAAGAACACAGCAAGCCAGGCAGCATCTGGAGGAAAGGAGAAGTCAATGTTTTGGGTATTACCCTTCTTCAGGACTGGATTTGGGGGAGCTGCAAATAAAGATTGAGGGGAAAGGGTAGCGGTATGGTGGTGATAGCTGGACGGTGGTCGTAGGTACGACCTGGTTGGTCGATGGGATGGATGAATCTAGTTGGTGGCTGAAAGGGAGGTGGAATGGGAGGGAGGAGGTGGGGCTGGAAAGGGAGTTGGGGGATAGGTGGGAAGGTTATTTGAAATTAGAGAACTCAATGTTGAGTCCTCCAGTCTGTAGGTGCCCAGACAAAGATAAGGTGTTATTGCACAAATTTGCATTCTGAGTTGCTGTGACACTGGAGGAGGTTGAGGTCGAGGTCGAGGACGGGCATGCCGGAGGAGGCGTGAATGTAGAGGTGTGCTAAAATAATTTCAAGAGGCCGGTGCATGTCCAATGCCAGGCTCGTTGGACAAAAGATGCAGGCAGTTGCTACCTTTAGAGTGTCCCTGAGATGACGGAGACTGCATGTCAAGAGTGGAAACCTGGAGGAGCTAGTGATGAGCTAGAACCTCCAGGTACCTGCTCAGACTTTCATGACTAAAATTGTTGCTGAATAGTTTTTCTCTGTCGTCTGGGAGGATCGTAAACTACATATCAATGAGGTGAGAATAGATAATAATGCATGCAAATAGGCCTCTTGCTGCTCACTAGTGAGATTCTCATCTTCCCATTCAAACCTAGAAACGAAAATCAGATTTTTTTCCTCGATGTCAAGAATCTCATTTTTCCAAATCCTGCATATTTTCCCAACTGATTCACCCATGCCATTCACAGGCTGGGAGAATTCCATCTGTAGTGTCCCATGTAAGGCCAAACTCCCAAAGGAATAAGCCACCTGACATAAATATCCTCTACTGTTCCCTGCCCTTTAAATATGATCGATCCTCCAGGCTGCTATTTTTGCGTGATCAGTGCTACTGATCCCATTTCTTCCACACTTGCTTGGGTTACTGCAGTCCTTGCAGTAGCCACTGCTTCTGGTGACTCGGCTGGGACTGGTGGCATTCAGATTGACTAGAAGTTGTTTAAGGCAAAAAAAATGTCTTTTTTCTGGGGTGGCAAGCACAATCTCAGGCAAGTAATTAATTGCTAAAGCCACTGAAAGCCTTAGTCTTTCCAAGATCAACAGAAACAACTAACAACTCACTCCTGACTTTCCAGCCAGTGGACTTAGCCAATCTTTTGACATTAAATCTCATTTATTGTGCAATTTTGGTGCACTTCCCCCTACAAACAAATAGACACACACTCTCATACTCACATACACATAGGAATGTACTGGAATCACATAATTCTCTAGGAAAATGCTAAGAATGATGGTGCTCAAGGGAAAGTTGAAATGATGTTATAGTGGGGAAAAGACTGAGGCTGTGCTTTTTTAAGCAAGAAGATTAAATAGATATGTACAAAATTACGAAAGCTTGTGAAAGGGTAAATATTTCTATTGAGATTGGTATACGAATAAAGGAGATTTTTTAATTGTATGTGAAAAACATGATAAAATATAGTGCAAGCAAATAAACTAACAGAGTAGGTAACCTGAAGTAGTAATTGCTTAGAAACAAGTTTGAAACAATAAAGAGAAATCCACCATTTAATCTTCGTGATAAATTTATTAATGCCATCTTTTTGTGATTGTTAGTGCAAGACAATCATCTAAGTTAGTGAATGAAATTTTCTTAATATACATTTCAAGTCAAATCAATGATGTGACCAAGTTTTCTCTCTTTCAGTGTCAAATGTATTTGTCCTTGTTGCTCTTCATATAGAAAGATCCCTGTCTGTAGTAAGTGTATCTCTATTACTCAAATTTACATTTAAAAATATTTTTCAGGAATCAGAAATGAATTTTAGGTTTTTTACTGATCAATATTGAATCACAAAATAAAGCTCCCTACAGGCTGTTACTTCATAAAGAATGACATTGACAGGACTGCCCTGTCATAGAACTTTACATGAAGGCATTCATCCCCATCATGCTTTTAAATCTTTTTGACAGCACTGTCCAATTTAGTCCCACATCCAGATTGTAACCTATAATCCTACACGTTAGACTTCTTGAAATGCAGGTTCAGTGGCCTTTGAATGCTCTTGTGAAATCTAATTCCACCATTCTTTTAGTTAATACATCCCAAACCTTAATCATCCCGTTTGTTTCCCATCTTAGTTCTTTTGCAAATTAGTTGAAATTTATGACCACTGGTTACTGATCTACCTTGCCAATTCATCAATGTATCCTAGGTCCAACCATACTCATTGGCTTCATCAATGGCCTTCCTTCCATCTTACAGTCAGAAGTGGAGGTACTTGCTGATGATTGCAGAATTTTCAACACGATTAATGACTCCTCAGATATTGAAACAGTCCATGCGCAAATGCAGCAAGACCTGGACTGTCAGTTTTGGTCTGACAAGGGCAAGCAATGCCACAAAATGACTCTGTTCAACTAGAGACCAGTATCCATTATTTTTGTCGTTGCTGAAAACCTCACGATCAAAGTCCTGGGGGCTACCATTGACCAGAAACTGAAATGGACTAGTCATAGAAATACTGTGGCTACAGAAACAGGTCAGAGGCCAGGAACCCTGCAGTGGGCCAGTTCACCATCCACAAGGCTCAAGTCAAGAGCATAATGGAATGCTCCCCATCTGCTTTGATTACTGAAGCCTCAAAGAGACTCAAGAAGCTTGATACTGACCAGGAGAAACAGACCTACTTAATTGGTACCACATCCACAAACATTCAACCCTCCACCAGGGCGGTGTTCTGCAGCATCAGTGTGTCCCATCTACAGGATGTGCTGCAGAGATTCATGTCAGCTCCCTAGATAGCACCTTCCAAATTCACAACCACAACCAGGTGGACGAGGGCAGCAGACACATGGGAACAGCTCATCTGCAAGTTTCCTTCCAAACTAATCACTATCCTGACTTGGAAATGTATCATTGTTCCTTCAGTGTCATTGTGTTAAAATCCTGGAACTCCCTCACTGAGACGGAGAGTCTACCTACAGCACATGAACTGCCATGGTTTAAGAAGGCAGCTCACCCCCAATTTCTGAAGGCAACTAGAGATGGGCAGTAAATGCTGGCCCAGCCAGTAATGAACACATCCCATGAACTAATGGGTGAAAAAAAAATCTCCCTTCTATTTTTTATCAAAACTCCTATACCCCTCATAATTTTGCATATATATATTGGCTCTACTCTTAACATTCCCTGTGCCGAAAGATATAATTCTGCTTTCTGTAAATTCGCCATATAACTTGCAGTTACTCATTTTGGTATTGTCCAATAAAATTCTGTACCCATTCCAAGTTGTTGACATCTTTCCAAAGCTATGATGCCCAGAATTGGGCATAATTGTACACAATGCTCCAGCTGAGGCCTAATGAACTGTCTTAACAGCATCCCTGTGATCACCAAAGATTTAGAAATATACACCTGAAGTCTCTCTTCAAAATGCTATTTATAATACTAGAGCAAAGTGTTGCAAATACTGGAGATCTTAAACAACTCATAGGACTGGAAAAGCTCAGGAGGTCATACAGCATTTGTGGAGAGAGAAACAGAGTTAACATTTCAAGACGGCTCTTCTTTGGAAATGAAGGGGCCTGGAAATCAATGATACTGGTTATTTAATCAACCTATGACATACACCCCTGGAGTACGTTCGGACTTGAACCATTACCTTCTGATCCAGAGGTTAGGACACTATTACTGCACCACAAGACCCTTTAATATTTTTTCGTACCCATTGACAGCCCAGATCTTTGTGACAAAGACTGTTGATGGGTTGGAGACAGTAGGTCTGTCGTCCCTGGATGGCCTCAAATGACCAACCTTTTGGTTAACAGCTGAACACACCGACCAATTGCACCACAGAGACTGACAATAAATGGGTATTATACTGTAGAAAAATGGTGGAAAAGGGACACATAAAACATATGGTGAAGGTTCCTCAGGCTAAAGACAAGGGAATGCTAGTGGTAGTAAAAGATTATAGATTAAGCATATATGTTAATGGTAGGATTTAATAGCAGAAAATAGGTAAACTGTACTGAGAATGAACTCGTGGAAATAAGACACTGGCAGGGGAGGAGATATTAAAATGGAAGAGCGAGTTCATGGTGTGAAGTTATTGATTTTAATGTTGAGTTCTAAAGGCTGTGGAATTCCTAATTAGTAAATGAGATGTTGTGCCTCCACTTTGCATGGGCTTCACTGGAAAATAGCAACAACCTAAGGCAGAAATGTTGGCATCGAAACAGGACGGGATATTGAAATTACAAATGAATAGATGGTCAGGGTCATTCTTGTGGACAAGGTGGGGCTATTCCAAAACAGCCATGCAACCTGCATTTTGTCTCATTTATTCTACAGTAAACAAGATTGGAAGAAATGCAAGTAGGTCACTGCTTCACCTTCTGCAATTGCTTGGGAAGATGCCATGAGAGAGTGTAAAGAGGTGTTGGGAGTGACTGAGAAGTCGACCATGATGTTGTGGAGTGAACAGTACTGCAAAATGCTGACAAGGGATGGTGGGGGAAAATGCAAACAGTGTTGTCATCCTGCTGGAGGTGGCCTAAATCCCAGATAATGATCCTTTGAATGTAGAGGCTGGGGAGCTGGAAAAGGAGGATAAAGTAGCACTATTAGACTGCCTCTCCATGACATTCCTTCAGCAGTGTATCTATTGATGCTTATCTGCACTTCTTACATCTGCCCCATTTCTTCCCATTTTACCAGACTACCAATGTCTTCCTGAGTCCTGCTAACATCTTCCACATTATTTACTATGTTGTCTGATTTCGTATCATCCACGAACTCTGAACTTATACTCCCGATGCCCAAACTTAGGGCATTTGTATATAACGAGAAAAATAATAATTCTAATACCGACTCTTGGGGAACTCCATAGCCAATTATCTATCCAGAAAACCACTGCCCTGTTAAAACCCATGCTTATATTTTCCAAATAAACCTGTTAAGGGGAGGTTTGTCATTTGCCTTTTGAGAATTCATTTATTATCACACATGCACTACCTTCATTGACTTTCTCTTGATCTAGTACACAAATTAAGTTTGATGGAGATGATTTGTCTTTCAGCAATCCTTTCTAGTTTTCCCTTCTTCAAGAATGTTTCTGTGAGTGTTAATTTAGTCTTTGTCAGTGATCTTTAGTAGTTTTCAGATTGATGATGTTAGACTGATTTGCCAATATTTACTGGGATTATCCCTGTCCTGTTTCTTGAAGAGGAATGTAACATTTGCAATCCCTGACTTCTCTGGAACCGATCCCATATCCAACAAGAATTCAAAATGTGTGATCACATAGCTGATAGCTCCAACCTAGATTCCCTTAGCAATCCAGGCTGCATCCCATCTTGACCAGGTGGCTTGTTATCTTTTATTGATTCCAATATTTAAAGTATTTAGTTCTTCCTTCTGTTTTTAGCCTGTTAAAAAGCTATATTTCTCCCTTCTCTACCACAATGTTAATTCATCCCTTTTCTGAAGTCAGATGTAAAATCCTCATTCAGTACTCATTCAATACCTTAGTCATGTCCTTTGCCCCAACTAGAACATTTTTCTTTAGATCCAAGTTGGCCCCACCAATTTCCTTTAACCAACTTTTTACTTTCTAAATGTTTATAAAATATTTATGTTCCCTTTTATGTTATGCTGCTGTTCTTTTCTGCTTTGCCCCTCATTTATCTTTTTATTTCAATTTCACTTGTGTTCCCTGTAATCTCGCTGGTTTTCTGTTGTCATCTGTATTTGATATTCATTGTAAATCTTTCTTGTTTTATTACAGCCTCCATTTTTGTTGTCATCCAAGGAATTCTAGCTTTGGATGCACCATCTGCCCTCCATTGGGGTATATTTGGTTTGGAATTAAACTTTCTTCATTTTGAAGGCCTGCTGTTGCTCAATTTTTCCTTCCATGGCCAGTCCTTGTTTCAAATCTACAAGTTCTAGATCCCCTCTTAAATCTTTAAAATTGAATCTCTTCCAGTTAGTACTTTTATTTTTTCTGTTTCAGTGTTCCTTTCCATAACTACTTTAAGCTTAATCCCTTTAGCTGACATTCACGCATTACTGGTACTAGTCATTCAATTGTAATCTGAAATGATGCCTCCCTGTGATTTTCACCTTCTTTGCTCAAAGAAACCTGTGGCCAAAATATAATATTACATTTACCTACTTAGTTAGATAAGTTAACTCAAAGACCCCATCTTAATGGAACAAAATGGAAATTTCCTGGTCTGCACAGCTTAAAATCAAGTATGTTACAGCGGCTCTGTTGCAAAACTTTCATCAAGCAATACTACAGGAAATCTAGTTTCAGAATAAATTAAATGGATCTAAAGTTTAGTTTGAGTTCTTATTGTCTTCTAGACTTACAACAGGAGAACCTTGTTGAATTTTAGAATCCATGTTTTGATGTATAATTTGGATAATAAAGCTGGAAAAACATTAAAAACCAAAAGGACTGCGGATGCTGTAAATCAGGAGCAAAAACAAAGTTGCTGGAAAAGCTCAGCAGATCTGGCAGCATCAGTGAAGGAGAAAACAGAGATAACGTTTCGGGTCCGGAAAAACATTAGTTGGTTTCACAGGTTGCCAAAAGTTGTTTGGTTCTGTACATGCATTGACATTACTGATTTCTCTGAGGTCATCATAGTACGCTATTGCTTCAGGTATTTTTAATTAACTTTTCTAGGGATGTTATGACAAACCTCTGAACCAGGTAGGCTTTAAACCTGGGTGTTCTAGCTCAGAG